TGAAGAGAGATCACATTAGAGAAACCCGTACAGACTGTTTCCAATATTCTTTCTCGCCATTATTCCATCCCGGTGCCATAAAAAACAATCTCAGAGATCTGTTCGCATCCTCACAGGGCCCCCTGAAGCTGCAGACATAACCATTAACAAGTAATATGCGATTTCACTTATTTACGAATTGCTTCTTATGGACAAGACCTTTAAGTTCAAAATTACTAAATCTCCTGTTGTTTCCTTTACATTATGCTCTTTGAGGTACAGAATCATAGTTCATGACAGTAAATCTTTAAAAAAAAAAAAAAGAAAAAGAAAAAAAAAAGAAACACAAGCCGGGCGGTGGTGGCCTTTAATCCCAGCACTTGGGAGGCAGAGGCAGGTGGATCTCTGTGAGTTCGAGACCAGCCTGGTTTACAAGAGGTAGTTCCAGGACAGGCTCCAAAGCCACAGAGAAACCTTGTCTCGAAAAAACTAAAAAAAAAAAGAAAAGGAAAAAAGAAATGATTCATTTTTACTGTCTTTGTGTATTGTGTAGGGATCTGAGTTCAGCTATGTGCTCATGAGAGAAGAGCCCTTGATGGCCTGAAGCCACAGATTCCCCTCAAAGGTGGTTGTGAAGCACCAGATGTGGGTGCTTGGAACCCTCTGCAATAGCAGTGCTCTCTTGATAGCTAAGCCATCTCTTCAGCCACAGGATCTTCCTCTTACCTTTTTAAAGGATAGAAGCATCTTCATTTCATATGTATGATTGTGCTGTACACCGTGAGTATTATTACTTTCGTTGCTTAATAAAGAAGCGTTTAGGTCTATAGCAAGGCAGGATAAAGTTAGGCAGGGCAATCAACCTGAAGGTACTGGAAAGGAGAAGGGCAGAGTGAAGAGACCCCAACTAGCTGCCTTGGAAGCAGAACATGTAGAATATGAGGTAACATGGCAAAGCATAAATAAGAAATATGGGTTAATTTAAGAGTTAGCTCGTCACAAGCCTGAGCTATCGCTTGAGCATTTATAATTCATCTTAAGCCTCTGTGTGAGTTACTTTGAGAGCAGGTGGTTGGGGCAGGATCCTCCACCTATATGTTTGTTTGTCCTCATGTATGTCTTTGCACTAGGAACTGAACCTGGGTCTTCTGCAAAAGCGGCAAGTGCTCTTAACCACTGTGCCATCTCTCCAGCCCCAAGCTCTCAATTCTGTTCTCTCTCCCTCTCCCTTTTTCTGAAACAAAGTCTCTCTGTGTAGTCCTGGCTGTCCAGGAACTTGCTATGTGTATAGGAGGCTGGCCTCTAGCTCACAGAGTTCCTGCCTTTGCCTCTCCAACGCTGGGATTAAAAGTGTGCACCACCACACCCAGCCCCACCCTTTTTGTTTGTTTGGTTGGTTGGTTTGGTTTTTCTTTTTCTTTCTTTTCTTTTTTTCTTCTTCTTTTTTGTATTTTTGGACAGGGTATCTCTGTAGCTTTAGAGCCTGTCCTGGAACTAGCTCTTGTTGATCAGGCTGGCCTCGCAGGGATCCGCCTGCCTCTGTCTCCCGAGTGCTGGAATTAAAGGCGTGCGCCACCACCACCCGGCTGGTTTGGTTTTTTTCAAGACAAGGTGTTTCTGTGTAACATCAGCCCTGGCTGTCCTGGAACTTGCTTTGTAGACCAGGTTAGCCTCAAATTTACAGAGATCCGTCTGTCTGTCCCTGCCTCCTGAGTGCTGGGATGAAAGGGGTGCCCATACCCCTGGCTTTCTAGTCTTAGTCCATGTAATCTCCTTTGGTTTGCTTCACATAAAAAAAAAAAAAAAACCAACCAAACAAACAAACAAAAAAAAA